GATCATGATGGTGATCATGGTGATGATGATGATGATGATGATGATGCTGATGGTCTTAATGATCATGATGGTGATCATGGTGATGATGATGATGATGATGATGATGCTGATGGTCTTAATGATCATGATGGTGATCATGGTGATGATGATGATGATGATGATGATTCTGATGGTCTTAATGATCATGATGGTGATCATGGTGATGATGATGATGATGATGATGATGCTGATGGTCTTAATGATCATGATGGTGATCATGGTGATGATGATGATGATGATGATGATGCTGATGGTCTTAATGATCATGATGGTGATCATGGTGATGATGATGATGATGATGATGATTCTGATGGTCTCAATGATCATGATGGTGATCATGATTGCGATCATGAGTTAGGGTTAGGGTAGGGAAATGGTGATGATGATGGTTATGATAATGATGATGATGATGGTGATAGTGACTGAACACAGAACTTGAACACAGAACTTGAACGCAGCACCTGAATGCAGCACCTGAACGCAGCACTTGAACACAGCACCTGAACACAGCACCTGAACACAGCACCTGAACACAGCACCTGAACAAAGCACCTGAACGCAGCACCTAAACACAGCACCTGAACGCAGCACCTGAACGCAGCACCTGAACGCAGCACTTGAACGCAGCACCTGAACGCAGCACCTGAACAAAGCACCTGAATGCAGCACCTAAACAAAGCACTTGAACACAGCACCTGAACACAGCACCTGAACACAGCACTTGAACACAGCACCTGAACAAAGCACTTGAACACAGCACCTGAACACAGCACTTGAACACAGCACCTGAACACAGCACCTGAACACAGCACCTGAACACAGCACCTGAACACAGCACCTGAACACAGCACCTAAACAAAGCACTTGAACACAGCACCTGAACACAGCACCTGAACACAGCACTTGAACACAGCACCTGAACACAGCACCTGAACACAGCACCTGAACACAGCACTTGAACACAGCACCTGAACACAGCACCTGAACACAGCACCTGAACACAGCACCTGAACACAGCACTGCGTACAACATCACAATGAAAACACTTCAAAGTTCTTTATGGATTCTTCTGCTGATGTAATCTAGGTGTTTGTTTTTGTTGTCAGTAAATAGCTTCTTTATTGATAATTAAAATAACAGAGCCACGTTATGTTACTCTGAGTGATGGTCGACTTCTTTGCATTGTTTCCTGCTGCTCTGATCTCATCACATGTTGCTTTGTGATGTGTTTGAGCGATTCTATGCATGGCAAATCACAGCTTCAGAGCAGGTTACGTGTGCGTGTTTGTTGCAATAGACTGACTTTGTTTGGTCCAACTATACTTCCTGTTTAGAGCTTCTTCGCTCCCTCTCTGTCTCTCTCTGGGGCGAGTTAGTGAATGCTAATATTGGAGAAGGAGGCGGGGCTTATTTCTGACGTTTTCTTTTATTTAAGGGGGATGTAATATCTGGCACACCGACTCTGGTCATCTATTGTGGGTGCAGGGGAGGTTCCCAGTCAGCTGGATGTTACCCGCTGCAGTGGGGCTCTCTCTCTCTATTTATCTAGGTCTCTGGCCCCTTGCTCGCCCTCCCTCCACCCTTCCTGTATGTGCAGCTGATGGTTGCACCCTTTGTCCCCCCTGTCACCTCCCACCTGCTCATTAACTATGTGGGGGGAAAGTTTACTCACTTTTCTTTTTTTAAATGTAGTCATTTTTCCAACGTGGAGGGACGTCTCAGTAGACTGGAGGAAGTGGGAAAACTGTGACATCATTGGAAATTGCATTAGCGAGTGGTGTGCGCTTTTATAAGCAACAGTAGAAGAAGAAAAGAGACGGAAAAACTGATGTATGGAAAATATATTTCTAATAGATATCAAAGGAGGAACACATTTCTCCTTACCTATTTGACTTTCAAATCATGAGTTCATCAGGGAATTCTGCAAAACACATTTGGGATCCCAATTTATTGGAAGTTGGTGTGAAAGACAAAGATGAAAAATGTTGTGTTGGTTTAAATGAAGAAGGGTCTAATTAGGACACATTTGGAATCTTAACCTTGTAATTAACATTTAGTTTTAAGTGAGAAGACAATTGTTGCTGTACTTTTCATGGACATCAAACGGAGGACATTTAATTTGAGGTCACCCCCCACCTCCAACTCCGGGGTAATGAGGGGAATTAGCAGAACACATTTTGGGATCCCAAATTGAAACTATAGTTGGGGGGGACACAATTTCTTCTGTCTAATCCAAACAGAGATCATTTCATTTTGAAAACTGCATGAATGAAACATATTTTGGATCCCAACCTAGATCCCTTTTGTAACAGTAGAAGGAAGACCCTTACTATTTCACAAAGGACACATTTGGGATCCTTTTTATGCTTGGAAAATTTAAAAAACATTTTAATGTTGTTAGCCTGCCTGAAAGTAAACATTATAGACAACACATTTGGGATCCCAACAAACATGAAAGTACTAAAATTATGAGGAATCATTGAGGTTTTCTCACATGGATGGCACATGCATGTCATTTACTGACACATTTTGGATCCCAACCTGTGAATAAAGTAATGAAAAAATAGGAAATGGTTAGGGCTAACCCTAACCCTCTAATACAAAAACATAATCTCATGGAGTATTTTTTCAAAATACAACGTTTACGAACGTTTACAAACGGGGGAAACTTACATGTTCTTCTATTGTCTGAAAATAACCAAAGTGGAAAAGAGTGGGACTTTTTTAAAGTTAAAGGAAGGGAATCGTGAGGATACCCTAAAGATCACATTTTGCTTCCCTCTTTAAGAGACAAAGTCAGTGGGCCTACATCTGATTTAGTATTTCCTGTTGTAGTGTGAGTGATGAGGATCATTTCTTACAGTTTGAGACCATCAGACATGTCTCACTTCGCCTCGCTCATGGAATAAAAACACCCGTCAGATTTCATGTGGTGGCACAATGTGAAGATTTGTGTATTTGAAAGGCTGAGGTTTCACAAAGCAGAGGTTCTTTTATCGAAACGTGATGTTTTCATTTATTTATTTTTGATATGTGGTATAATTTTACTGGTTCTGATACAAACTTTTTCATTTTTTCATTCCTTCTTCTATTTTGTCATATTTAGAAATGTCCAAAATAAATATGGATGCATGCTGAAAGTCCTCTGACCTCCTGTCTTCCTCAGGTCGACCGTACAGGCGTCCTGCCTGTCTCAACCATGGAGCTCAAGCCGTGCATCGAGTACCACGACCTGGAGGCTGCAGAGGCACTCGTCAGCATGAGTTTCTGGGGTCAACGGGCTCACAAGCCCCGCCCACTCACCCCCACCTCCGACTCCTGTGACTCCATACATCTCCAACCAGAGGGGGGCGACACTCCCAAAGACCTGATCGCTCTGTCCTCACTGGTAAGATACAGAAGTAATAAAAAAAGTCATGTCCCCTCAAGGATTGGAAATGAGTAGAAGCAACATCATATTCATCAAGTAATAATCCAAAGATAAAAATGGATCCTCAGACATTTCATGAGTTTGGTTCAAATATTTTCAAAATACATAAAAGGGAATCTGTTTTAATTCTAATCTTCTGTTTCCCCTCTCAGTGTATGACTCCTCCTCACAGTCCGAGCTTCGCCGAGGCCTCTACCTCTTCTGTCCTCACCACCACCTCCGCTATGAGCCCCGCCTCCAGATCACTCCCCCCCCACCCCTGTTTATCTCCTCCCTCCTTCATCTCAGAGACTTCAGCAGCTCAGACAGAGTCTACCTCTGTGGCCAAGCCCAGCAGAGCAATGGCAACCAGTGTGATCCGTCACACGGCCGACCGCCTCAGCACTCCACCTCCTCCTCCTTGCACCTCCCCACTCACAGAAATCTCCAAGCCGGGGCCTCCAATGACACTTCCAGAGGAGAAGGACAGGCCTCCTCCGTCTCGTGCCAGCCCGTCCTTTCTTCCCCCGTCAGCATCGCCTCCTCACATCATCCAGTCGTCTTCCTCCTCTTCCTCTCCAGTGTCCTCCTCCCCTGTCCTCTGCCAGGTATTTCCAGTGAGCAGCCGCACAGGAATGATCTCCGCCTTCGTCCAGGCTCCTGTTCAGGTCCAGACTCAGGGGGGGCCAAAGCACATCCTGCCCCAGTCTCCTTCCAGCTTCGCTCAGCCACTGCTGGTGGGCTCTGCCATGCCACAGGGGACCGTGATGTTTGTGGTTCCTCAGCCGGCCGTCTCCCAGACGACGCAGTGTCCACAGACTGTCATGACTCTGGGCAACACCAAGCTCCTCCCCTTAGCCCCCGCACCTGTTTACATGCCGACTGGAGCAAGCGGCCCCTCACAGGCTGACTTCTCCCGCAGACGAAACTATGTCTGCAACTTCCCGGGCTGCAAGAAAACCTACTTCAAGAGCTCCCACCTGAAGGCTCACCTGCGCACACACACAGGTAGGACCGTCTTTGGAAACATCACACCTCATTTTCTTTTTCACTTTGTATGAACCTACAGAAGCCCCCAGCGGACATACTACATCCAAACAGTTTATTTGATCCGTTATCAGGTCATAACCAGTTATTCCTTCTTTTTTTTTTTTTTCTTGAGATCTCGACTCATTCATCTTATTTTACCAGGATGACAGCGCTGGTGAATTTCTGTGATGGCGAGTTATTTTCTATCCTGGAAACAAAGTGTTGGTACCCTGACATAATGAGATTGATTAGTGGAAATCTGAAGAAAACAACGGAAATGTTCTCGTTATGACAGGAAAACGAGATCAAATGTTTGGATGTATGTCCACTTAGAGCTTCCGTATAAACCAAACACAACACATCAGAGCTTCTCACAACCCCTGGGGGCACTTAGAGGAACTGCTGTAGTCCCAGGTTTGAACGTGACTTGATCACATTGGTTTAAATAAGTCTTGAAGTGATTTAAGACGGTGTGAATAATTCTATTATATATTCAATGATCCTGTGTGTTCTGCATCACTAAGTGCTGTAACAACCAGTATCCGTACTGATTGAGGGATTCAAACCATAAACTCATTCAAAGTCATTCTCTCTCCTTCATCTTGTTCTTCTGCAGGTGAAAAGCCGTTCAGCTGTCACTGGGAGGGCTGTGACAAAAAGTTTGCCCGTTCTGACGAGCTCTCCCGCCACCGCCGGACGCACACCGGGGAGAAGAAGTTTGTCTGCAATGTGTGCGACCGCCGCTTCATGCGCAGTGACCACCTGACCAAACACGCCCGTAGGCACATGACCACCAAGAGGGCGACGTCGTGGCCCACCGAAACCCGAGACCTCAACAAAGTGGCTCTTCCCAAGGGCCAAAACAGAGGCCCTGCTCTTCCTGTTGGCATGCTTGTCTCCACAGCAAACTAACAGACTCAGGTAGCTAGGCCGGGGCCCGCCGGTGGGGCCGGGGCTCGCCGGCGGGGCCGGGGCCCGCACAGGTTGAACTGTTTTTTTCCGAACAGCTCCACATCAGGAGGAACATGTCAGGCTCTGTGTTAAACGCTCACCGAGCTCCAGCTACGTTTACATTAACAACAGGGTCATAAAAACACAGCAAACTCTGATTAACAATCGCCGTCAAAGATGGCCGCCTCTTATGAAACAGGTGCGACAGACTCATTACCTATTCGTGGTAAATTGTTTTCAGCCGTTTCAGCTTTCAGCTCTTCTGAGTCAAATTCTAACTTAGCATGTTAGCATGATAATGATTTTCAAACATCAAAGAACAAGCTAACAGTTAGCTCCTTACACAGACTTTCTTTCAGATGGTTGCCTGCTGTCATTAGCATGTTAGCATGATATTGTTGTTTACATACGACATGCTTGTAAAATACTTAACGCTAAATGTCTAACGTTTGATACGTCATGATAAAAAACATCTGATCTAAATTAATGAAAACATCTCCAGCTTCGTGACTCAAGTTAAAGGGAATAACGTCTCCACATTAAAAAAATATTTTTTGTAATATTACACCTTTTTTTTAATTAACTTGGCTTCCATTAGCGTGCTAGCATAATAATATTTGTTACCCCATGTCTTAAATATCAACATGCACATTAAGTAAAATTCAATGCTAACATGCTAATTTTATCCTAAAACAACAAGATAACTTTTATTTTGAAAGTGTTGTTGTATTAGCTTGTTAGGATGCTAAAAGCTAGCATGCAAATTTAGATTTAAATGCTATTTGTATGGTTAGCATTCTTAACATGCTAATGTTAGCATGTAGCCTGGGAAGAGGGTTTTATTAGTTTCTTGATTTGAAGTTGTAGTTTTGACCAGCTGGTGGCGCTAGATGAAAAGGTTCAGAATCTCTGAAGTGTTCTGTACTCAGACTCTGAGGATGACGACTAACTGAACTAAATCTAGCCAAAACTGATTTATTATTTAACCGTTAGCTTCCTTTAAGTTTACAGCCGCCATTAGCATTGAGGTGTCACTCAGTCTGTTTACATTTTAACACCTCAATTATTTTAATTGTTTACATTGTTTTGTGTTTGATGCAGGACCAGCTTTTTGAGTTTCAGCTTTAAGCTCTTTGGGGAGGTTCGGGTTAGAAGTGGCCTAATTGAAAAAGGGTAAAACTCCAAACCAAATCACGCTTCATTCCATATTTAATTTTTTTTTAACAACAGGGTTAGGTCTGTCTGTTGTTTTTCTGCTTTGATTTTCTACAAATACATAAAAAAGAAAACTAGTAGTCATTCCACAGTTCTTCAGGTATTTAGAGGTCTTTGTTAGAATCAGAGTATTGCTGTGATGAGGGTGAAGTTTTGTAGACGGAGCTGGACGCTAGCGGCGGAGCACAGAGTGAGTTTCCCGCCCTGCTCAGGACATTTTATTCCCACAACCACAAACTCACCGGAGGAGGCGACAGGCTGCTATTCATCCACGGACAATAAAACAAAAACCTGACATTGCACTGGATTTTTTAATTAAATCTTTGCTTGTTTTTGTACTCTCTCTCTATCCGTGTATAATCATGTTTACTACATGTGTAAATGTCACGTTTAGCTAAATGTATGCACTCTTCTCATATTTTGCCAAAGCCTCTGTATTGTGCTTCTATTATTAGCTCTAACTTCTGATAATTTGTCTGTAAATATTGTACATATATTGATATCTATATGAATGTTACGTGTATTCCAATCTGCATTTATTGACAGTACGAGTTATTGATATTTTAAAAATGTCAGTGGACAGTATTCCTCACTGTGAGACTACCTACTATCTTTGCTTTACACGTTTTATTATTATTTAATAAACATTTGTTGAGGAAACAGTGCTGTTTTTTGATAGCTTGATTTGGCCCATAGTGTAGCCAGTAAGAAAATACCTCATGTTAAATGTTATTCTTAATAATAACAGCTTATATCCCAATAATCCCATTTCTGAACATTTGCCTATAAGCAATGCTGAAGAAAATGGCTTTTATAATAAAATGTACCATGAAATAAAAGTGTTGCTTTGTAGTGTTTTCTGTGTCACTGGACTACGATTCTGACATTTGTTGCAGGTGCTCACTGTGTGCACCAGAACCCGTCACGTTCCTGTGCTCGGGAGAAGGTCTCTTTTTCCCACGATAAAATATTATGTTTACCACAAAGTTTCCACTATTATGTCTCACAGGGTGATCTTAAAGGCCTTTTCCATTTCTGTGAGCCGCAGAAGGGCGTGTTCAAAAACTTTGTGTTGAGCGTGACATACTGTCCTAGAGGCGATCGATAATGCCAGGGTACCGTCCACATGCACTAGTTTCCGTCATAAATGGAAGTTGTTCTATTCTAGGTGCCAGGATAGGGAACTGGAGCCTGTCACCTGCACGGTGGCTACAGTGCTCCTCTTCGTGTGGTTCCTCCTGGAATCAGGTAGAGCAGCTAGCTCCCTGCAGGTTTACACTGCAGCTATTTCCATGTTTCATGAGACAGTAGGGGGTCTTTCAGGAGGGACCCACTCTTCCTAAAAGGTGCTAACCACCTGCACCCCAGGCAGGTGCATTCAAGTTCCATCATGGGACCTCTCTTTTTTGCTGAGGTCCATGGCTCCATGTTAACCACTAAAGCAACTCTCAAGCTTCTGTCATACAAAACCATTTTTTTTAGCAGTGTGCTAAAGAGGGTGAGTGAGCTACATGCACTTCCTGTGAGCGATGAATGCTTGAGATGGAAACCTGAGAATGTCGGAGTGTCTCTGAGGCTGGACCCATGTTTCCTTCATTAAAGTGTAGTGATAACAATATAAACGGTGATTTAAAGTTATTTAACAGTTACTGAGGTCCTTATTAACAATATTGACATTTAATTCCTGACTTTCAGATAAAAACCTCACTAAGATAATATTTATATTATTGTCTCTAAGCTGTCATAAAAATAAACTCAGAGTAATAATTAGAATACAAAGAACTCACCCTAAGATAATAATAAGATTAATAACTCACACTTACACTTCATTCAGATTTATATAAACATCAATTGTCCCCTATATGAAGTTTCTGCTCGACGACAGCCAGACTCTGACGTCATCTGTTATACAACCGGAGCCCCGACCACTCTCCCTCTCCCCGCACCACCCAGTAACAACCATCATCCAATCAGGAGCCTGTGTTCAGGGGGTGTGACCAATGAGGGCGGACGATGCTGGGCCAGAGCTGCGCGTCATTGGCTGAAGAGGTACCCGCCCTCATGCCTTACTGACCGACATTCAGCTGCAGCCAAAGAACATGAATTAAATAGACCAAAACAGGAAAGTGGAGAGTGACATCATGTGGCCAGACGTAGTACTGCAACCCTATTGAAAACTTAGAGGTGATTCAAAGTGAAGTCATGAAAACATAACGATGACAGAAGCCACATATTTAGAAGTTATGATGATTAAATAAGATAGAAGGAAAAACAAAGCATCAGAATCTGCTTTATTGGCGGAGGGGAGCAAACATGTTGAGATAAAGATCATAATGAAATAATGGATGCAACAGATGGTTCATTTAGATGGAGTTTTAACAGTGTGTACATGAAGCATGACTGTTTAATCGGACTCTTTAACAACATCACCACCTCATGTTTTTAAGAACTGTGGTTACTGTGCAATTTTACATTATTGTATTTTTTATTTTTTTATTTAAATTATTTAAATATGTTCGATTTGATTTTAACTTCTATTTTTATTTTTAATAAGTATATTCCCGTCCCCTGTTTTTTCTGGAGCTGCTGTAATGCACAAATTTACCCCACAGGGGATCAATAAAGTTTATCTTTATCAGACTTAGGTGGTTTTCAAGTGTCTACGATGTACGGTTCGTGAGTTATAGGCTTGGAAGTCCGCCCATCTGAAATGAATGGAGCATGAAAAAATTGACTAAGTACTTTTTTCCAAAAGTGTCCCCAGAAAGTGTGTCTCCGCACATTTCAGGCCATGCCATTTGGAGTCGATTGGTACCTACTTTGAAGTCGACTTTTCCCCAACATGACTAAGTGAAAAAAGTGTGAAAGTTGGTGTGGAGCGGGAAAAAGGGTTAGGGTAAGGGTAGGGTTAGGGTGTGAAAGGTGTGTTGTGTGTGTATGGTGTATTCTGTGTAAAGACATGTGGTGTGAAAGGTGGGTTGTGCGTGTATGGTGTATTCTGTGTAAAGTCATGTAGTGTGGAAGGTGTACTGTGGGTGTATGGTGTATTCTGTGTTAAATTATGGGGGAGCTTTACTTTTTCAGCATGGCCAATCTCCTTTTCTTGAATGACTGAAGTGTCCTGGCTGGAATGTTCTTCTCCCTGCAGCTGGAAATGTACGGGTCCAGCTTGATTGAATCCTCCAGCACTGTCCAGCGTCTGGAGGTGTTTGAAGGCAGGCACATTGCTTGGGATTGGACCATCGGCCTAATGTCGTCCTGGTCGTCAATGGCCTGTACATCCTCCTCAGGCTGGATGACTTGTTGTTCTGGCTTGTCAGCCTCTGGAGGTTTAACGAACTTAGGACCCGGTGAGACGCCACGGACGGGGATGCTTTCATGTATCTTCCATATCAAGACGTTGTAGACCCTGGGTAAGTTGAAGCGTGACAGGATCTGCAGCTTCTGCAACTGTGCCTGCGACATCCCGAAGCTCATCTTGGTCAGGAGCTCCCTGAGGTGGTCATATTGAACAAAGTCCCTGTTCATTATCATGCCCACACAGCTCACAAAGGTGGTGACTTGCAAAGTCATGTTTGGCCCAAGTGCCGGTGGAAGACGTGAAAGGACCTTTTCTATACATGGCATCCCATGGTCCCTATACTTCTCAAGGGTCCTGGAGTATGCGAGGGACCGCCTCTCGATTTCCATGCACACCTGCATTGTCATTGCAGCCACCTTGGAAAGGGGAGACGGTGTGTGCTCTCCCAAGTGCACCTGTACAAAGTCCCGTCCTTTCCACCAGAGTTTCTTTGCACCCTTGATGTCTCAGAACTTAAGTGCGGGGAAAAAGTTGATTTTCTCTTCAACAAAGCCTTGAAGAAGACAATCCTCAACATACTTCCCAGCTCCCTCAACCAGTGTGCATGCCCTTCCAAAAGTGTTCGGCACAGGGAAGCTGTCCTTGCTTGACAGGTCTTTACAGAACTCCTCCAGAGGCAAAGCTCCAATCAGTCTACCCGGTGGAGTGTCACTGCGCAGACTTGTCCATGGTAGCTGCGTATTCCTCTTGTATAGATCCCCCAGCAGGACTCGGATCAGAGCGGCCCCAATGACCGACGGTGCCGAATCGAGGACCTGGCACAGAGGGAAGATCCTTTCGATTCGGGTCCTCTGAAGGTCATCCCTCGTCCAGTGGTTGAGTGGTGGAGGTCTTTCTTCGGAAGTGGCACTTGTGTGGGGTGCCAGTCCCAGGAACCCCCTGTGATTCGTCAGACTCTTCTTGCTGACCGTGCTTGTGCTGAGGCTCGAACTCAGGTGGAAGTCAAGTGGCGACAGGGGCCTTCCATAGAACATGTCTTCCAGTGCCAGCTCGCACTGGAATGCTTTCCAAGACGCATCAAAGGTCGCCACTCCTTTGTTCTTGTTGAAGAGCACTCTGAGTGTCCCGTTGAGGTAGCCGATGACACTGCGCACAGTTGGCAGCAGCCCCTCACCCGTAACGGTGTCCTTAAACGGTACAAGGACAGCACGCTCATAGATGAGGAGGTGCAGTGCGTCGAGGTCAAAGCATGCTCGAGGGTCAATGGACATTGGGATGTTACCCTCCATCCTAACCACCTGCTCTATTCTACAACCAAGTTGACAGACAAGTCTGTCGTTGAGGTCCCTCATATGTTGCAGGTAGGTTATGGCTCTTGAAACGATTGCCGTCTGGCAATTAGGATGTGACAGCCCACATGTCACAATGGCACCAGTCACTGGGTGCTTAAAGGGCATTTGTACATGAGCATGTGGGGAGTCCACGTACAGTTGTAGAAAGGTGACCTTTCCCTCCTTCCCAAGGACACCCATCAAGTCTGCACTGACGTCCAGCCCAGTGTGATCAAGATTTGTCTGGAAATTTGTGCATTTGTGCATTCCCAGAGTAGAAAACAACGTGCCCTTGCTTCCAACAATGGTTTCCAGCCCAAATCGAGAGAACAGGAGATGTGTGTCAGGGTCCCTGGCCACAATCCTGCATGCCAGGTGGATGGACACTGACCTGATATCTGCAGGGTCAGCCAGGTCGGACAGTTCAAATGTGTCCGGATCTTTCTGCCCCAACTGGTTCAGCATGACCTTGACCTTCATCAAGTGGCAGGCATTTGCCTTTTCGATTGCCTGGTCAAGGAGGCTGAGGATGAATGTGCAATCCTGCCTCAAAACATGGTAATTTTTGATGTCGTGAGACATCTGTTTTTGGACTGTGGGCCTGCTCTTGTCCTTTGGGGACAGCTTGGACAGGAGCTCTTTGAAGTTCCTGGTCACTTCATTCATCAACTCAGCCGCATACATGTTATAGAAGTCCTTACGGAAGAGTCAGGAGTCCGGTGCTGTTTGGCTGGCTGGGACACATGTCAACACGAGGTAGTAGCCTTCGTCAACATAGCCCAGTGTGTGGCCCACCACGTTCTTGAGGGCACGGATGCCATCAGCGCTGTGCTTGGTTAAGTCCTCATGTTTCTTTAAAATAGCGTATCGAGGCTTTAGGAACTGTGGATTGAAATTGGGGAGAAAGATGTGGTGCAGCCCACCTTGCAGCCCCTGCAGTTTCTCAAATTCTATAAGAATGCCATCCACGTCAAAGGAGTATGTGAGGAAGTGATGTGGGTAGGACACTGTGGTCGCATGTACTCCCACATACTCCTCTGAATGTAGGAATTCCTCCACAGTGGCGAAAGCTTCGAATGAGTCGAGCTTGTTCATGGTGTTTTCCACACCCACGTCAAAAAGCTCGTCTGTAGGGTCCATGTTGTAGCTTGTTTTTGTGCTAGCGTGTTGAAAGTCAGTTTAACTGTGAGAGCAGAGCAAAAAAACGCTTGTCTCTAGCTGCTTC